AAAGAATCATCAGATCCCTATATTCGCTCAGTTAGTAAGTACTAAAAATTAAAATAAAAAGTAAATTGTGGGTAAAGAAATAAAATGTAGCAAATTTAATTTAGGAATTCTTGACAATGGTCAATATCTTGTTTTATGTACTCGGAAAGAACAAACTGAATTACTTTCTCAAGCATTGTATGTTGAAATCGATATGGCATTTAAAAGGGTTCATGGTATTACAAATGAATGGGAAATTTGTGCATATGCTAATCGTTATCAAAAAAGTAAGTCTTAGCATAACTATCTGTTTGAAATTATAATTTATTTAATATTTTCATATGAAGCTTAAATAAAATAATATATTTTTTTTATAGCATTAGTTTTTGCACGAATTTTTACAAATTTTCAATCAGCTAAGGCATATCAATGCTTATTTGAAGACTTATTTGATGTTGTTGAAAAAGATACACAAAAATAATTTGAATTTTAGTATATTCATAGTCGTGGATTGGGTTGTATAATTGCAGATGAGCATCAAGGGCAAGCATTTGAAAAGTAATATTTAATAATATATAAATAAATTATTTTATAATTTATTAATCTTTTTTTAAAAAAAATAGAGTTTGGACAATATCTTCATTCGAAATATAGCCATTTGTTATGTGAAGAATATTTAAAGCATATTTATAAATTATGCCAAGTTCATTTTAATCAGTAAGTAATTTAATATTTATATATGTATAAATTATATATTTTATCAATTACTAATTAAAATTATATTGTAGGAATATTCGAAATAAAGCTGTATCCGATGAAACAAAAGAATTAATGTATTCCATTACTAAATTAGATACTAAAGAACAAGTATTAAACGTGTTAGAAAAAATTAAAGAATCGGGTGAACAAGAAGCAACAGGTTTTTTATTTATAATTACTATATATAATTTTTAGATTGAATTATATATAATTTAATATAATTTGAAAAACAGACTGGGTTAAAAATAAGCATAAACCATAGATATTGGCTGGACTTTCGATAGCATTCACTAAAATGAAAGTTGATATATGAAATCAAACCCCAAATAATACTAATATTAGCGAATCATCACATGCAAATATAAATCAGGATGGTCGATCTTTAACGTTATTGGCAGCAATATATCGGTATGTATTGGTATATAGCAATAGTTTTAAATCTTTATATGTATGTACATATATATTTAAACCATTTTTTTAATTATATAGAGGTGATGATTTTGATAAACGGCAATGGCATTCAGCAACAATATATAAACAGTATAATATACATGAATCATGCAGAAATAAATCTGAATTAGCCCGTTTAACAAAGAATACAAAAAGAAGTCGTAAGTTTGAATTTTTTAAGAATTTATCCAATAATAATAGCAGTATTATGCAAAATTATCATTATCATTATGTAAATTATGAAAATCACATATTCCGAATAACAAAAAAAATAAAATAAAATAAATAAAATAATAGAAAATGATAATTCAAAACCTAGCTTGGCGCACTGACAAAAAAAATATTATGAGTGCAATTTTACATATAAGAATTCTAAATCTAATACTAATTAAATAATAATTCT